TCCACCAAAAGTACCTTTTGTAAAAGTGAGTATGAGATCAAAAGTGAGCTCATTTCCCTCAGTGTCATACTTCAGTGAACTGTATATAACTTTATGTGCCAAAAGTTTTCCTTTTCTTTTTTTATTTAATCACAGGCACTCGTTTCTATAATAATTTTTTGACCTGCAGTATAATGCTATAGGTTAAAAATTTATTACCGAAACAAGTGCCTGTGTTTTTAATATACAGATAAATTTGTTCATTCAAAAAGTATTTCACGAATTATTTATATTTAATAGTTTGCATTATAGACGATAAAGATTTTCAATATATTTTTATGGTTTAAGTATGTTTATGTTAGGGGTGGTTTAAGGAAGTATAACTCTGCTAACTTTAGAAAAAAAGTGATGAATAAGGGAGATAACTCTTGCGACAAACACTGCTCTGATTCATTCACAGAATTAAAAAAAAAAATCGACCATGGTTTATTCAAATACATACATTTTAAATTTTTCTTGAAACTAAATCGAGTTCACTTCTGCTGAATGGAAACCTGCAGAAAATGATAACTTTTCATATAACCCTTTTCATAAATTTTTTTTGGAGGGTTTTTTTTTCTTTGGTTTGTTTTTTTTTTTTGTTTTCGTTTTTTTTTAATTCAAAATCGACATTAGATTCTGTATAACATCGATGTCGACAATATCTGGAAAAAATACAGATTTATCGGGAAAATTATATAATGAATCTTTTTTTTTTTAGATTTATTTATTATTTATAATAAATCTATTAAATAAGAACGCGATAGGTCAAAACTTATATCATCAGTAAACACTGATGGCATCAAGATTAAAAATGCACACGTGTACGTCATGAGTTTGTTACACCAGTTTCTTTTCTTGGTAGATCTAGAGACTTTACACAAAGTTCTCGGAATATTAAACTTATCATCTGTAATCGATTAATTTTACTGCCCGAGCCCAATGACGATTTTTTCACCATTTGTTCTAGGATAATTAAGATATGTATTGAGTTTGTCGTGAATTTTGCCAGATAAACACCATATGTTGGCGGAGCACGTGCTGCATCGCAAGACGTCTGAATTATCTCTGTCCATAGTCTTAGTCGTGCAACCGTGCACAAATTATCTATTTTTAATTATCGGTCTTTATATCAATGTACAATATATTTTCTCCTTATATTATCTCTTAAATGAAATAATTAATAGGTATTCAAAGCTTGTCTGACTTAAACAATCAATATCTAAAGAATGTTAGGGTAAGCTGGACCGTTTCTTTTTTTTTTCCTTCAGCATGGTTCTGTTATACATGTATATTATAAATGTAAGCATCGGGTAAAGTTTTGAAAATTTACAATATCATAAATACAGTAGTTATTACGATGTAAAATTTGCATTATACTCCAAGAGCAAGTGATAAATTCAGAATTAAAATGATATAACGAAGGATCGGTAAAGTATTGAAACAGTTCTTAATGTATTGTAAATCCTGTGAAACCTCAGAAAAATTCTTCAAATCGAAAATGCACGTTCAAAAAAAAAAAAGTGAAGATTTACACTCTAATAAAAACTAGAGGTACTGTGAGCACTGACCTCACTAAATGATACCCCCTCCCCCCTCCCCAACGCCTCACATGCATATGTTTATAACTGCAAAAACTACGTTTTTCCATGGGAATCCCTAGATATGTGTCCGATCAAATCGTAAAATAGAAAGTGCACAATGGCATTATCCAACAAAGATTTTGTGAAAGATTCATTAAATTTCAATCAGTAGTATAAGAGGATTCGCGGATAAGAGATGGGTACCCCAAAGCGTATCCGCAAATCCTCTTACATGTATATCACTGATTGAAATTTAATGAATTTTTCACAAAGATTCTGGGGGGGGGGGTATAATAATGACAGGCCTTCTTTGAAAATTTGAATTATTGTGTACGCTATAAACTGTATAAAGCATGCTAAGTGACACATAGCTCCAGTGCGGCAGCTGGAATAAAATACATGCAAGGCTTATTGATACTTTGTGGTGCATGTACATGGACATGTAACTCACATTGCACCATATTGGACTATAATAACCTACTTACATTCTGACTAAATATCACTGTTCTTTATATTATGCATTGCAAATCCAATTGATTTACAACTGGAAAAAATAAATGCGTGTAAAATATCGATTAAAATTTATACCGGCATGTGTCCTATATTTTTCTGATTTTGTAATGTCACTAATTATGGAAACGAGGACAGGTTATGTAGGACAATTCCTTACATACCAAATACACAGCTCTCGACGTAAAATGGCACCCCAAATTCAGGTAATATTTACACAGAGTTTAAAAATCGGAAGCAATTTAACAATTGTTCAATGAAAATCATGACTGTACCCCTTTTCCAGTTCCGTCAGTCGACCATCTATGACGTCAATGAACTTTAAATTTAAACATTTGGAAGACAGTTTTGATAGTTTTCTAATGCAAAGATCCTTTTGGAAGTTTAAATATTTAATACAATACATCAATTACACATCTATAATCTATATAAAAATTCCCAAATTATTCCTCAGTGCCATGATCGTCATAACTTCTTGTTGAGAGTTTAACTGAAGTCCTATATCTGGTAATCCACGTAATCTATACACCTTTAATTTAAAGTTTAGTTAAAGTGTGAAACATTACAATGTTTTAATATTTAAAAATGATTACTTTACATATATGAATTCTTTAAAGTTTTCTTCTGCTTTCATTTATATAAATTATCATAATAATGACCGCATTGTTTAAGTAATGGACGCTTGATACCGTACGAACGGATTCTTAATTTGCTGACTAGAGTGGACTGATTGCAAAACATGCCCGAGTGTCTATATTAATTAAATGCGAATTTGTATGCAGGTTTAGAAAATATCATTTATGAAATGAAATATGCATTTATTATGTTGTATTTAATTCATTTTAAAAATATTTTGAACTACTTTTAGGACTCTTTAAATTATTATAACTTTTGGATGAAGTTTGTAAACATTGAGGACAGTTGCATAATTCAAAATAATCTGTTTTCTAAAGAAATATATCTCAAAGTTATTTCTAGGTGACGCTATCGTCAGAATGTCTTATTAATTAATCAGTTATCAAAGGTTTCTACTCTTTTTACGAGCAGAGCGGTATTTATAAATTACCACAGCTAAGTTTAAACCAAGTTTAATATAGAAGCAAAAGGCGTCAGAAAGGTGATCAGAAAGAAGATAAGAATGTACGAAATAATTCTATTTACAGTTTTAAAAAGTAATAATGATCAAACAATTAACATAGTACGTTGTCAATTTACATTTACAGAATTTGTATTTTATATATTCGTTATAATTAATTTGAAACGTACAAAGACCACCCGCGCACACTTGACGTACTCAAACACAGACAAAACACAATATTCTAATAATAAATTTTACAGAAACCTTAGCTACATTTTTAGTAGTTTGTCTCTAATATCACGGTGAAATACCCCCATCCTCTTTCACTGATTAACTAATCACGAAAATGAAATACAACTTATAGTCAACATTGAAAGTTTATATTGTGTGCCAAATTATCCTTGTATAGCAATTTTAAACTTTAAAAAGCATAGACTGTAGGGTTAAAATCTTTCTCTTTCTCATCCCCTTGCTGTGGATAAAGCATAGAGCTATAAATTAGGTCTTTAGATTAAGTAACGCAATCGTCTGTGTTTGTGGGTGTGTTATTGCCTGTGCAAAACGGAAGTGACGTCATTTGGATCGAGACGGAATGCTCTCTTGATTCATAGATGTGTGGGAACCGTTTTACAGAAGAACTTATGACTAAGTCCAAATTAAACTTTAGTTGTACATGTATAGGCACGTGGCAACAGGGGGTGGGGCAATTTTCCCCCAACATTACCTTTACTATTGAAAATGTTCATGGAAAGTTTGGTCCCCCCCAACTCCTTACCCCCACAGTCAAGGGATATCAAGGAAATGTAATATTGTATGCAAAAAAATTGGATATATTTTTCAATTAACTTTATTTTTTTGTGGTCTAAATAACTAGAGCAATCATTTCCATCGCATGACCTTTTACTCCCTTTCCTAGCAGAGCGTTTTGGATATTAATACGAAAGCCCAGTAGTTAAACTGATGCAATTTTTTTTCTTTTTTTCTCATGTTTTTTTTTTATAAAAATTTTTATATGAACTTCTTATTTTTTACAGGCAAATGTAAAAAAAAATTTCTAATTGGTATGCCCCCCCCCACCGTTGGTTTCATTTAAAAACAATGTATACGTGCCTGATGTACATATGCATTCCCTAAAACAGTTGCACGTTCAAATATTTAAACCGAGTTTATTTGCTTTGCAACAAGAAATCTTTCGATTAAGGCATTATCACCAAACTAAATAAAAAGCAATTAAAAATGACAATTTTGTGGAAATGCATGAAGGTAATCACGTTTAAATGCTTTTAGTGCAACATTAATCACAAGTTTATTTAGTCAAATTCAGCTAATTAAAAAATGTTTTTCCCAAGAAAATTTTCTTATTTTGAGAGGGCGCCTGTGCAGTCTAAATAACTAGAGCAAACACTTTCATCGCATGACCTTTTACTCCCTTTCCTAGCATCTAGAATGTAGGATTTTAAGAAGACTATAATATTTATTGTATATATCGATCGAGATACGTAGATTGTTTATAGACCTTAGATTAGTAAGGTATAAATCTGTAGTCCATCATCTGATAATACCTTTGCAAATATTGATCCCATCTTTTCATGTAAATGATCACATATTGTTCACTGTCTCACAACATTTCTTATGCTTACATGCTATAGAATAAGTAAAGATGTATGTGAAAAATATATTCAAAGGACTTGTACGGTCCATTTTACGTTAATTTAATTGTATATCATATATACTCACATGCCTGTTGCATAAACAATATCAAGGTCTTGTTAGCTCTAATTTAGAATCTGGATAAATAAATGACCATAATATGCTGAAAAAATATCCTTTATTCATTTAAATCCATAACAGTTTAATAAACTTTAGACTGCAGCTAAGTATCTGCGGGTCATTTGTGACATCAACTTCCGCCTTTTTGGAGTCCTCTTCTTACGCTTAACCACGCCCCCTTCTAAAGGGACACGTGGTCCTGGCGTTACATTCCGTCCGCCATAGAACGGGGTCAACCGAACTATGTAAGGAACCAGCCATCACGATGAATTCGTTCAGACACATCCTAAAACACAAAAATAACCTTGATAAATACGTGTATACACGGGGGATGTTACCGGTCGGCAGGGGATGCTCCCTCCTCCATGACACCTGATCCCACCTCTGATCATCAGATGTGTTTGCTCTGCTCCAAAAAATTGTATAGTTTAATGGATTTCGAACTTGAATACTGTTCGTTATCTCCATGGATGTATATATTTTATTGCACTTTAAATCCAAACAAAGATGCTTGCATCATTGTTACATGTAATATTGACATTTTTTTTTAATGATGGTTAAAATTGTTGACTTTTTACCTTTCAGGATAATTTTACCTGATTTTTTACGGAAATAATCAGCCTCTAATATCACACGGGTAACTCTATTCTGGGATGCGTAAGAAAAATCCTTTCACAGAACTCCGTGACAAATTGGTCAGAATGACTTTTTACTTCCGGATTCTAAGAAAAAAAAATTAACGTTGTGTTAATACATTTAAAGGTTTTAATGTTTCTAACAATTTACAGTTCCTTGTTTCTGTTTAATAATTAAGTAATCCATTTCATCGTTTAATAATTAAGTAGTCCATTTCATTGAAGCATTTCCTGGATTTCAAAAACAAATGCGTATTCATGTGCATTATGACATTACAAATGTTTCACACATGAACTGTCAAGTATTTCCCTGAATTTCAGACCTAACAAGTATCAATATCATATTAATTAATGATTTCATTACACTATAACCTCCCAGACATAAAAAAGAGAGTTTGATATCTTATGTCATGGGATATAATTTTCCCTGTGAATTAAAGCAGCATGTTTTTGCAAAATTCATCATGAACTTTTATTTTTTGCATTCACAAGGTATCAAAGTATTTTAATGCTTGCATGTCCTTTTATCATAAAAAAGGAACTCACAATGTACGTTAATAATTAACCTTAAAAACAATTGACAGTCAACTACTACATAGATAAAATAAAAATCTGTTTGCAGGTGTTTAAAATTCCACCCACTTTCCTTTAAAACTACAAATAGGCACAAGACAGGAGTGGTGCAGCCACTAATAATCTGTAAACAATATATGAATTTTAACATGTATATATAGATAAATAATATTTACCTGAACTAGCAGACAGGTGAGGTCCCTATCCCCGTCCTCCGGTCTGTCGTTATTATTATTGGCTGCATCCTGTCTCTCTGTCAAGGTCATGGCCAGCTTTTCCGAGTCACCAATCTGAGAAAATTCTTAACATTTCATGTTTATTTTTTCAAGGGCAAAAATATCATGGCATTTTTCCCTCGCCCAGTTTTAAGTGGTTAACGTTTTCTTTATGAATAATAGATCAACTCAATTTTTTTTTCATTTTTAACATTTTTCGTGGTACAATTTCCCAGGAGCAATTCGGTGGTGTATTTTTGAACTTGATTCTAAATATAACTTTTACTATTATGACTCTAAATTTTCAGATTATTAAATCTTCCACACAAATTATTATTATTAACAATCATTTTCAGTGTAAGGATATTAAGATTGGTTAAATCCAACAACTGAATGGACTTTCTATCGTATATTGAACTGTTAAGAAAAAACAAGCCATTGATGTGCACATGTTTTCGTGTGAACTGTGCTGCAGCCAGAGCCAGCTGTGCACTCCCACGTCATTTCGTGACACTAAACGTCAAACTTCATGCGTATTTCGGGAGAAAAACATCCAAATTTGGTTGAAAAATCAATAAAATACAGCCTCCTCACTATAGAAAGGTCAGAATTGCAATTCATAATTTTCAGTCAATTTTTGATGACAAGCTTTCCCGTAAATCCAATTTAAATAGTGCTACCTTAAGTATAGGGATGCAATGTTCTACACAGAAGGCTTCTACAAGAGTTTGCTGGATGTGGAACGTGACGTCATGACTTGGGACGGAGGCAGGTAAAATACAAACCATCACGCTCTCCGGGCTTCTGAAATGAGGAAAATATAAGCTTTTGCATGGATTTTTCTTCTTTGAAAATGATGCAAAAGAAATAAAATGGCATAGCTAGATTGTATGTCCACTATGTATACAAACTCAAACTATAAACATGTATTACGATATGTTCCCTTTGCTATATTTTAACTTATTCACCTTTCATGATAAGAAAGCTTTCAAAAAAAAAAAACAAAAAAAAAAACAACAACAACAATTCATCAATTTACTTAATATTCACCGATTTCAATTGCAAATGTGGAAGTAAATGTAAGTAAATAAAAATAATCTTACATTTCCAAAAGTTTAGCACAGGCCATCACTCCTATAACAAGTCTATCATCAGCGAGTGCTTGTATAAGGGTGTCCTTCAAAGCTTGTCCAATATTTACAGATTTTCTAAAAAAAAAAAAAATACAAAAAAGCATATTAGGGCAAATATATATGTACAAACTTTTTCTCTGAATAAAAAAAAAATCTTTGTAAAATAACAACAAAATGTAATTCCTCATTGCCAACCTATATCTATAACATGATGAAGTGTTTGTTTGTTTTAAATCGGGGTATACAACTTGGACAAACTCGTAAAACAATTTAACAGAATTTTTTTTTCATCTGTACACTATTATATCTTGACATTAAAGAAATGTTTGCGATTGCCCCCTTATTTTAACAAATTACCCGGTATAACTGAAAAAAATGCGGTCAATAATCACAAAAATCAAGGAAATACTTCATAGTTGACTTTTAAATTTTTCACACTGGTAATGCATCAAAATATTTTGGCATTTTAAAATTCTCACGTTACAACCAGTTGTATGTCAGAGATTTCTCAATAGTCAAGAAAAATAAAGACCCCCACCCCCATAAAATACCCTCGTAAGTTGGGATATTTGTTCCTTAATCATAACAAAGAAATATTAAAATGATTCTATTACAGTTCATTTTCTGATGCGTATCGATATCCTGCAATGGTTTCAAAAACCAATCATTTTACAATCTGCAAATATTTATCTCTTTCACTAATTAATAAGCTTTACTTCTTTCCTATATCCTTGTGCCCATTCATCGTGCATGCATTGAGAATCCGTCAATTTTGCTGAATTTGATATTTACCTATAGCATTCATGTGTGGATTAGCGCGCATTTTCCTTCTTAAAAGAAAATCATGTGACTTCAGGGCATGACTTCGGAGAAGTCAGGCTATTTTTAGATGCTAGCAATACCTGCGCACAAAGGGGGAAAAGAACAAAGAATGTTTGTTTTTAAGATATATCCGTATATTTTGAGTCTTAAAACATGATGCAAAGGCCAAAACATTTGCGAAATTTGCATGCAATAGAGAAAATTATGCAATGACAACGGGTAAACATCGAACAGCTGTTTTCGATACAGTGTCAATGGCTGAACTTTTGCAGAGTTCGATTGCTTTGTTCTCGATATTGCATCATGCTAGATAAATAAATAGCAATTCATTTTGCAAGCAGCTTAAAACCATGCTTTTGCATTATTATTGTTTTCTTCCTTTAAATCTACAAATTTATACACATGATATAGAACAAAGATCACAAAAGTAGCATAGGCTAAAACGGAAATCCCTACCAAGAACTACATAATAGTGTAAAAATGCTTACTGCATAGGAAGTGCTTCCGCCATTCTGCAGATTTTAGCTGAAATCATCCCACAGCACAGATCAGATGAAGTAACAAAGCTTTCCTTCTGGATAACGAACCGTAATCTAAGCCACGTAGTACAAATGTCAACCAACGAGGCGCTTAGTCTCGCGTGTCTTTGTTCAAATATGGGCGGAGATATTCAAGATAAACCGAGGTCGAAAGATTTGATTGGATGCACGGGATGCAACAGCTTCCGTAGTAACAGTAATAGAATTAAAGCCGATCAATACAGCTGTGACATAATGACGCAGTTTGCATCCAAAACTTCAATTCATTGGAAAAGTTTATTGTTAAATTGACATCAATGCAAGGGCTAATTCAAAAATAGACAGAATGCGTCATTTAAGGCTTTTATATAACTGACACTTCTCGAAAACAACACTTATAATTTAAGTAAGAAAAAGCAAACACTGAAAAGTCAATCAATTATGCATGTTTACTTATTCATTTTTAATTTTGCAGATTTATCTTCGAGCTTAATAAACCTCCTCCAACACAATATTTCTGATAATTACATGTACTTTTTTAAAAGTAAAATTCTTTTCCTTTCAATAATATTCAATTTAATCACCCATGCATATATAGTAATCACTCATTCATAAAACAGGGTCAAATTTTCAAATCTTTGAAAAAATAAATTTTGAGTATATACATAGTATTCTCAGCAGTAGTGGGAAGAGCCTTTGGTATTTATGATAAGTTCACAGTTATCAGCATTACATGTATGTAAATGTGGGAGAACGTGATTCAAAGTCCTCCTGCATTTACATAAACAGCAGCGTAAGTATCAGAAAAGAAGTGCATTCGGAATAACACACCGGATCAAGTCACATGGGCATTATTGAATCGTAAAATTGACACATATGCGCGAAGTAATATACTTATAGAAGAATATAGAATCAAATCATACAAGGCAAGTGTTCTCATAATCTGACGGTTAGGCAAATTTAAAATAAACGGTATTAATTAAATTTTCCCGAAAACTTGTCTAAAAATAGTTGCAATAAAATACATAAGCATTTTTTTTTTCAATTATATCAATAACACGACAACAAGAAAAATGGTACTGTACAAATTAAATTATTACGAAAACCGTGAAGCCGCGAAGCCATGAAATTCGAGATCGAATTCCATTAATTTACTATTATGTATGCGACTTCAATTTTCCTTTAAATTGACAAGAAATGAGAACATTCACTAAAATAAAGACATTGTATAGCTTCATTAAAATTAAACAAATAATTTAAAACATCCAATTTCAATAAGATAAGTGTACGCAGCCACAGAAAACAAGAAACACTGGTGCCCAAGCATGACAGCTTATGGCGAAAGTATAAGTTTCTCAGATGCATGTCAAACTTCAGTCTCAATGTCAAGAGACAATAAAATTGTTGCCTTAAAGAATGGATTGTCTCAATGAATATGCTGGTGAAATATGAGCCCATGTGAAATATTAACTGCCCAAAAGTTAGGTTCAAGGTTCAAGTTTTTCAAAAGAATGTCAAACTCAGAGGTCAAGATCAAATTGCCTTGTAACAAGAAATATACATGTGAAATAGTACTATCTGATCAATAGTTATGACCAAGGTTAAAGTTTGGTAAATTCTTTGCAAAAGTGGGTCAAACTACAAGGTCAAGAGGTCAAATATGCCCAAAAAAAGGTTTCATTATACGAAAAATGCACATTTGAAATATGAAAATCAAAGCTTCAACCAATCCAAAGTTATGGACAAGATTAAGTTTTTGCGGACAAACACAAAGAGAGGGCAAAAAAAAAAAAAACAACTCCTGAATCTTCGACTATAGGGGAATAAAAATCTGCGAAATGATAAAATGTGTCCTTTACTGAATACACTTTAAAGCGCCACCGGGACAAACTGAAGCATGTTCTGTCAAGTAGATCTAGTTTCTGTGAAAAAGTGAGTAAGTACATGCCCGACATCAAAAAGCGTCACTGTGTATATATACTCAGTAATAAAAATTACCTCTTTCCAAGTGATTTCTTTTCTCAAAACTCCAGACTTAAATAGGTCCATAAGGATCTATTCCATGACCTTCTGAATTATAACAATCATCTCTACCGTTTTCTGCGAATATTTCAAATTGATGCATTTTAATTAAGATCGTGTCATTCACTTTTTTCTCTGAATCAACGGTCTTGTTTCCAATATTTCAAAGGCTAATATAATGTCTAAGAAGAGGTGTATATGTTTTTTACACTTGGTAGAACTGGCATCGTAAAGGATTAAAAAGGAAACTAGAGGTACTGTGAGCAATGAGCTCACTAAATGATACCCCCGTCTCCCATATGAATATAATGGCAGTGTCCATGTTTTGTTGTAGGAAACCCAAAATGTGTGTCAGATCAAAAAGTAAACAGGAAGGTGCACATTGGCAATATGTAATAAAGATTCTGTGAAAGTTTCATCAAATTTCATTCAGTGGTATGAAGGGAGTTGCGGATAAGAAATGGGTAACCCAAAGCGTAACAGACGGACGGACAGAATTCGAATTACCGATTACCATAAACCCTCCCACTTTTCTAGCGGGGGGTATAATTATCGTCAAAAGAAATTATAAACTTAAACTGGACCTAAAGTAAAATGTTTCATCCAACTGAAGGAAACTAAAATGAGGCAAAGTCAAGGTCATACAGAAGGTCACTGCTCACCTGCTCATTAACTCAACTGCTCACACTTACAATCTGTGTCAAGGTGAATAAGAGCGTATGAAATCGAACTGAATAAAAAATAAGATGGAAGATAGGATGGAAAACGGACGTAACTAATGCTTTATGTCCGGCCATACAGGAACATTACGAGGGTTCACAAAATGTTACCCTTTTTATGCCCTCGTTTTGTCCTGACCGTTCGTATGTCTGTTTGCAAAAACGTTAACCTTGCCCAGAACATTTGAGGGGGGGGGGGGGGGGGGGTGGCTATGGCTTGTGTATTCCTTGTGACAAGACCTTTCTTTGGGTATCACCAAATTTGACCTCTTGACCTTGGTGTTTGACCCACTTTTACAAAAAAAAAAAAAATCACGAAACTTTAACCTTGACCAAAACTTTTTGACAGTTGTTGCTACAGTTTTCACCCCTTTCAATAGGTATAAATATTTTTGGCCTTTTGACCTTAACCTTAGAGTTTGAACAACTTTTTTAAAAACATTAATCTTGGCCATTGCTTTTGAACAGTTATCAATAGGGCTTTCATATTTCATAGATGTATTTCTTGTGACAAGACCTTCCAAAAACCAACAATTTTGACCTTGACTTGCATTCAAGAAACTTCACTATAAGCTGCCATACGGGGACATCAGTATTTCACAAACACATCTTGTTTACAGGTACTCAGGGTTTTCAACCATTTTTCTTTTTTTAACAAAAGTAAAGCGAATAAATTTTCTTTGGGAATAAGAAATGTGTAGATTAGAAATGTAGGTTTCAAACGACAAATATATTTTACGGCGCCAATTTTTCGTATACTACTCATATGACGTATTTGACAGTGCATCCTTGAAAGGACAAAATACGTTTTATTTGCTTAAATGGTGAAACAGAGCTTGATGCCAAATGCTTAACGTTATTAGATCTCATTTATATCAATTTTTACCATATTCAAGATAAAATTCACTCAGAGCTTGATTCTTGATCTCTTGCTTGTCCTGGATCAAAAGTAAAACATCACGTTCTAAATCATTAAGTTCTCAAAATCCGAGTGATTTAATCACATGAAGTATATTCCTGAAATTTTAAAGTTTACCGAGAAGCAGGTTAAAGTGCATTTAAATATTTTTTTTCTCCCAAGGACAGTAATCAGAGGGCGTCACGCTGTACAGGTGAACATAGGTATTTTAATTATGTAAACATTCCATCAGCTGATATGCACTCTCGACAAATGATAAGTATGCTTTGGATGGTCAGTGTAAAACAAGTTATACCCAACCTAGATCCTAAACCTTTTACACATTGAAAATGACTGGTTGTCTAAATATAAAACGAAATAATATTGGTTTCGTTTAAGGTCTTACGACATGCTCCTCAAGTATATGTTTTATATGTCTTGGTATCATATAAAAATAATTCATAATTGCCATTCTTTTGTGATTGCTACATTGTTTTCATATGATTTATCAATTGTAGAAGTACACCATTGCGAAAGTGATTCAGATGACTACCCATTAGAATTATAGAAGAAATTTCACCCTCTGGTATCTTGTCCAAATGCCTGGAAAGGTACCTAAAATTTTTTGTGAGGAAACTTGAGTACCTATACTTCAATGACAGATTATTGGTTTAAAATATTTATTTTTGAATAACGTGTCATCTGACCTTAATTTCGTAAATTGGTGAAAGACACAACTGAAACACATTGTAACACGACTGTAACGCATTGTTTCAAATATGATTTTACTTGAAGGGTATTAGTAATTGTCTCGGCGCAATTAAAAAAAAAGTCTGGATCATTCGGGTAACTTCCACAGCTAAATAAAAAAAGTTCATATATACATTATATATATATATTATTTAGATTTATTGCAAAATAAGACGTATTTATCCTGCGAATGCTAAAGGCCTTAAACTGCCTAATCGTGTACAAGACCCAAAGTCATGTTACATAGCATCATAACTTGTTTTAAAACGCAGAAGCGATTTAGACTGTCACAACAGTTCATAATAATAACCCGATGAAACAAACAACTGAACTTGCATAAATAAAATCAGGTCAAGGATTCTTTTTTGTTCAGCGCAATTTAATTTGATGATACATGTATGTTTGTATTTTAGATAATAGTATTTTTGTCTTTAAAGGAATGCTTATTATATGGGTATCAACAATAAGAAAACCTTGAATTTTATACACACGATTTCCTTGTTAAATATTTAAGACAATTATAAGACAGTATATGTATTCTGTCACACACTCATTCAATTTTGTAAATTTTAAAATTTTGCAAAATTCCTTTTTGGATGCATTTTTTAATTCACCAGTCTGTGTATTTAAAGTTTGTTGGTAGTATTTATATTTGCTTTTAATGTCAAGTAGGCCGTACTTCAAAGGTAAAAAATGAATGCACAATTGAGGATGTTGAAAGCTTTTTTGATTCCAAGTAAGTATACCTTTAT